GATAGAAGATTTGTAACAACAGAACAACCTGTTATACCTAGTTCAATGTTAATTCCTGAACGTACTTTATATGTCCAACAACAAGAAACTGTTGTAAGTATGATAATTTTACTTATCAAATGAGATTTCTTGTAATATAGTATTTGAGATTTGAATATATTAGGTTTCTGTTATTGTTATTTTCTGACATGAAGAAATTATTATAGGTACAGCCAATAGTGAGTCCAGTCGAATTACCAATACGAACACCGATTATGGAGCAATTTCAACAGCCAATGATGCCGTCTATATCTACTCAAATTATTGTCGAAACGCCCAATCCTGTGATTTTAACACAGCCAAGTAATATTATGGTAAGATGTATCTTCCTAGATATTTAATATAGTTATTCATCGAAATGAAAGTTATCACAGATAAAAAATTGTCATGATTGGCTTCAGAACTGAGGAAAATTCCCAAAAAAAGAAAATTTTTCTTAACCTGTAATGATGTTTTTTCATTAAAGAAGTTTATTGCTGATTATCATATATCGTTTTGTTTTTTAGAAACAACCTGAATCCAATATTGCCGTTCAAACTTTCTCAGCACCGATTATTACGGTATGTGTAAAGTCTACATGTGTGTTTTGTTGTTTCATCGTAGAACCAGTAAAATACCTTACTTGAGTATCTGTTAGATTATCGAATATTGTATCATGCTTCGAAAAATCATTCATTTCTTAAATACGAAGGGAGAGAAAAACAGTAGCAACTAGAAGTATACTCTGTTACAAAATTTAGGCACAATCGACGCTTGAAGCAAGTGTTCAAACCATTCCATCACCGATTATTCCTGTACCTGTACGTATCAACTTTCAATATTTGTTTGAAATTAACGTCCTGCTCAATATTGTATTCCTTAGTTAATAGTTCAAATATTACCATCGCCAACACTTGTTGGTACACGTACTTTTGATCAGCCACCATCGATCGACACCGAAGTGTCCGTTGTCATTCAACAACAACAACAACAACAGCCGATTATATCACCTCAATCACCATCGGCAGTTATAAGAACGATCTTTAGTGAGGTAAGACAATCTTCGAAAATAATAAAACTTCAGCCAAACCCACATCCACACGATTGTTTTTAAATTGTTATTTTCTTTTCATATACAGATACAATCTGCTCCACAAGCAACCATCGTTACACTACCATCACCAGTGATTGATGCACCTGTAAGCATAAATTTTATATTTCTTATGATAAAAAGATTGTTAATGGTGATTCTACTTTGTAATAGAGAATTGAAGCATCAGCAACTATTTCAATTGTCGAACAGCCTGTCAATATTCAGAGGATAGTTGACAATCGACCACAACAAGCAATCATCTCGCCATCTTTGCCGATGGTTATTGTAGAAACTATCTTTAGTCCAGTAAGAATACTATTGACTATCTTTCGATATCATGTGCTGCCTGATGATAGATTCCGTAGCCAGCTATTTCTTCCACCAATAATACTAACTGTAGCTCTGGACACAAGATCAATCTGACTTGGAGATCTTGTGATCAATTGCTTGGACTTCTCATAAACTTGATGAAAAGTCAAGACTAAAACTACAGTTTCTAGGAAAATCTGAAATTTCGTGCTCAATGGTTTTAATACCGCCTACTTCATCGGTTATGTCTCTTCAAACCGATCTATCATACTATGAAAATGAATAGTACCAGAGAATACCTTGAAGTCACGAAAGAAATTGTACCGATGCTTTGCAGCATACGTTCACTCTTACTTTTAATGTTTAGATACGATTAGCTCCTCAAGAAACAATTCTTACAATGCCTTCACCACTAATTAATGCGCCTGTAAGTATGAATTTTATATTTCCGATTGTGTTAAAAGTTCTTAGTTATTATTCTGCATTGAAATAGATCGTTGAAACATCAGCATCGATTTCAATTACTGAACAGTCAATTAGAAGCCAACTTGTTCCCAGTTTTCAACAACGACCAGTGATTGAGTCTCCTACTCCAACAGTTGTCATCAGTACTATCTTTAGTTCGGTAAGAATAATTTAATCATTGTACTATACTTTTTTTTGTAAATTAATTTATCTTTTCTTTCATATAATGATTAGATCCTACCAGCACCGCAAGCAACTGTTCTTACATGTCCATCACCTATAATTGATGCACCTGTATGCATGAACTTTTTTTATATTTGATAAAGTTAATATTTTTCATTATTATTTGTTATTTAAGCAAGCCGTTGAAATATCTGCAACTATTCAAGTTATTGAGAAGCCTGTTATTTATCAGCCTTCGCCGTCTATATCACCGCCGGCTATCATAAGAACGATTTTTAGCGAAGTAAGAAAGACTTAAGGCAGTAAAAAATCAATAAACTGAAGCAAAACATTCCTTTGATGAAAATGAATAGCGTCGGTTGGTTTCTTGAGCAGATCAAAAAAAATTAATAATACTGTTCGATATCTATTCATCTTTACTTTATTTTAATCTATAGATACTATCTGTTCCAGAAGCAATAGTTCTCAGAATACCATCACCCGTAATCGATGCACCTGTAAGTATGAAAACTTTTAGATGTTTAATGAAAATAAACTTCTTAATTGTGATTCTACATTGGTATAGATAGTTCAACCATCAGCAACTATCTTAACCATAGAGAAACCTGTTGTTTATCAACCTTCACCGATCGATATAGTACTAAGACAACAGATAGTCTCATCTGTTGTGCCATCGCCTATCATAAATACGATGTACAGTCCGGTAAGAATAATTTTTTAATGATAATAAATAATCAATCGAAGCTAAACGCAACTAACACTCGTCGTTGTAGCCCATTTTAAACTCGTAGGCAGATCTCAGTGAGACTAGCAAAAGTCTAGAAGAGTTCGGCTCCATGAATATTTTTCGATTCATGTGTAGATAGTCCCCAAAAATCCCGTTATTCGGTTTTTCGTTTTGACGAGACGGAAAAACATTACACAATACTCATATTTTGAAACATTAATACATCTTCATTTTTTTTATTATATACAGATACAATCGGCTCCGCAAGAAATAATTGTCACAATCTCATCACCTATTATAGAATCATCTGTAAGTATCGAATTTTTGTATTTATTGAAAAGTATTCTTCTGCTATTTTTGTCGTTGATTTTGTAGCCAATAGTTCGTACATCAGAGACAATATCTATTGTCGATAAACCCCAAGTATTTCAAACTGTACCGATTGATTTTCAACCAAAAGTCTTAATACAAGAACAACAGCAAATCATATCACCTGCTGTAACGCTGCCTGATGTGATACCTTCTTTGTCAGAAGTGGCCATAAGAGTTACCTATAGTTCGGTAAGTAATATCTGTCTTGAATGATAATGCTTATAGTTTGTTGAAGTTATCTTCAAATCCTTTCGTTTTTCTTTACATATAAATAGAATCAGCACCTTAAAAAATCGTTCGTACTTTCTCATCATCGATTAAAAGTGTATATTCTCTAGATTGAAAAGATAGGCTCTAGAAATGCACAATAATATAAATGATGCAAAATCGAATGTTTTCAATTACAAGCTTTTTTGTTTAAATTATTCAAACTTTTAGCACAAGATCTCTAAAATCAATATACAATAAAAAGAATTTTCATTAACTGTATTCAATTATTATTTGAAATTTCAAATATAATTGCAAGATCTTTTTTATTTTCATTTATCCTAGCCAATAATCGAAATACAACAACAACAGCCGGTTATTCCATCTCCTAGTACAATTAATATTATAAGACCTATACCAAATCCGGTAAGAAAAATTATATTTGGTATATAAAAACTCATCTACATTGAATCTCGAGGTGCAAAAAGATGAAATTTGTATGAATATATTCGAATCAATCTTTTAATAACAATCTACTATAGCAGAAATTCAGAAAGAATATTAAATAACTACTAACAATTCGTATTAATATCATATTGAAAAATATTTTTTTTCATTTTTAATTAATAAATTTAGAGAATTCAAGTTCCAGTCTATGACACTTTATCATCACCAATTATCACAGTATGTATAAAATTAATATATTTTACATTTAATACACACAAGTAGTTTTTAAGTTCAACTAGTTTATTAGCAATTTTCATATATAAATTCATGATTATCATCAATGTGACTAGTTTTGTCATTTTATTGAATCATGCATGACATTTTTACCTTTAGTTAATATTATTGTTATGTTTTTTCTAGGCACAAGTGGTTGAGCACATATATTCATCTAGAATTATAGTACGTACTATGAACAAAACGGATGATATTAAATAGAATAGTTATAATTATTTTTTGTCTAGCCAAGTCCATCAATTGCTGTTGTTTCTAGTTATGCTCAACCAATAGATCAACAACCTGCTATTGAAGAACGTTTACCAAGTGAAATACTTTCATCTCTATCTATTGAAGTAAGTCTCTTGATAGTAGAGCCGAATGAATCGGGTTAGAGTCTGAAAATGTTAGACTCTACGAATTCTATTTCCGAGACTATTTAGTACTATCGATGTCTAGTTATAATGAACACAGATGTTTTTATAAAACAAAATCTAATTGATCATTAATTGGCCAATATTTTGAAAATCAGATTCTGAAGACAGTTCCCATTGGATTTGGATTAGAAGAGCTCCAGCTAAAGGATTATTCATCACGCTTCCTCGAATGATGATGTTTATTTTTTAAGTTGAAATCTACCTGAGACTGCTATTTTAGTATTATTGAAACATCAACAACTTCTCTTAAACTATATAAAAAAATTGAAATTTTAAAAATCTTGAAATAGGAATCTAAAACAAAATCATCATTCAACTCAATATGATGAATAGTCCACATCTGAAGCTATTTTGAAGTCTCCAAAGGTCAATTTGCTTACGTCAAAAGTCCCAGCAAAAACTCTTGTCACTCTTGAATAGAAGCAGCTATGGCACTTGAGTTTGCATAAATCGAAAGGGGAGGCTGTTTTTTACTGATAGTAATAAGATTAGAATATGGAACAATTTTTTTCTATATTTTAAAGCAAAGAAATAATCGAAAATATATTCGAATAATCTTTTATTTATCTATAATAGATTCAAGCACCAAAGATACGTATGATACCTTCACCGATCATTGTAAGTATTAATCAAATCGACTTCATGTTATTTAGGTTTAATTTGTGAATAGTCACCACCTATAATAGCGACAGATCCACACGTTCCTTTATCAATTCCATCTTCTGGAATACGTACTGAAATGTGCAATTGTCAATGTCCAATCAGTGGATTTGTACCAATAGTTTATAATAATCGTCAACAAAGTTGTACCATTGGTACGAGACGAAAACGTCGAGATCGTCATTTTATTGATGATGATGATGATGACGATGATCATTATTTCAGACCAATTAACTAAATTTAAATTTTTTCGTGTTTTATATAACTACTGATTATTGATTATATTTGTTGTTGTTTCTTTTTCTTTTCGACATTGATAATATATCAGAAGAAAAGTGTGGTGTTCACAAGGCGAATGCATTCTCATATAGAGTCTTGAAATATTGTCCTTATCACTATGATTGTCAATATTCAAATTAATAATGTAGCTATTTTAATTTCTTCGTAAGATAAAAAGAAAAATAGCTATCATTTTGAATATATTTAAAAGGATATTATAATAGGAGTGAAGCTATCATTTACTTCAATAGAAAAGCAACCATTAGTTCAGTTGGTGCTCTTGTCGATTATATTATTGAAAGACTTTCAAAAAGAAACTATTCCAATCAATATATGCCACTTAGAATCAGCTTGTACAATCTACGAGTTACATGTAACTTGTTCAGTAAGGCTTATTCTCAACATATTGGTTTGGATGAAAACGACCTGACGATTGTTTCACAGAATTATTAAGACCATCATTTGCGAGGTCTTTGGAATAATAAATATCACTCTTTTTTCAAATATTATGAATCAGAAGCTAAATATATGTATATTTACTAGAGGAGAATAAACACTTGGTTATTAAAGTGTATAACAGCTGCTTTCTCAAAAATCAAAAGTGAGATGAAAACTAATTAATGCATATGGTAGAGCAAAGTCTACTCTATCGATTTTGTTATGTTCTTATTCTGTATCCTTCAACCTTTTAATTGGCTCTGGGTGTAGGTGAGTGTGGGTGTTCTCAACCTTTCAGTCAGACTCACACCCCACCCTGCCTACTCTTTAGGAAAAAGTTTGAGAAAATTCTATTGCACTGATTTGTAAAACGTCTATCGCAAAGATCGGATGTTTTTGAGCCCAATATATAAGGAGACTAGAACTGAACTGAAAATTTCAGTCGTACTTGATCATGACTTATACATTATTGGATAGGATGTTTGGATTGCTCATCTCAAAATGTATCTCTAGTTCAAATAATTGATTAAAAAGAAATTGATGAAAGGCTATTTTGGGTACTATTAGTCGGATCATCATACCTCAGTCAAAATGAATTCTTTAGGTGTTCAAATTTGACTTTATTCCTAAAAAGAATTAGCTCTACAATATGAAGTAACTGTCATCGAAATCTGAAAATATCGATTTAACTCAGTCCGGTGTGGCTCTCGTGTAGTCATTCTTAAAAACACAACGAAAACACATTATAAAAATATATAGTTAACGCTAAAACAAAAACAAATAAGAAGGATCAGGGACTGGCTTCAGAAGAAAATAAATATGCGAGCCCTAATCAAAGTAATCAACCAAGAAATGAAGAACCTGTTCAAAGGGTGCGAATAATGGCACGAATTATTGATTCTATAGAACGGTACGATGGGAGACAATGGGAATTCTTACTTTGAAATACGAATAGATGGATTATATGATGTTCAATACATAAGGATAAGCATCGTAAAAAATGAATGCATTATTGCATTTATCAATACATATATTTCAAAAACAAGTTGTGCCGTATTTGACGTACTGTATTACCTGTGTAAGATATAACGGTGTCTGAAGAAAATCCGTCTTTATATTTTAATATTTGAAAACAGCATTTGTTTTTTTCTGAAGCACATCAGACTTTAATAATCATGTTATTGTTTGTACTTTAGAAAGTGGATGATGCTCGATTATTGACAACTTTTTTCCTTTTCCATTCATCAATAAGCTCAACATTCATATATCCACATTCGGTACATTTATTATTGATCAAACAAATCAAAATACGATACTAAACGACTACGAAAAAAATTATACATTAATTCAAATTCTGAAGCAATTTGAAATAACAAAAAGAAAAAGATTCAATAGAATATAACGACTTGAATACCCTGAAAAACTTTTTATTGATTATCACCACCTCGAAGTTGAGCTATAAGATAAAGTGTGCTTTCCTCTTGAATGTTATAATCACGTAATGTTTGGTGATTTTCAAGTCGTGTTCCGATAAATATGAGTCTTTGTGCATCAGGTGAAATATCTTCTTTATCTTGGATTTTAACTTTAAGCTTTTCGATAGTGTCACTTGGTTCAACCTCGAATGTCATTGTTTTACCAGTGAGTGTTTTCACAAATATTTGCATACCACCACGTAATCGAAGAACAAGATGAAGTGTACTTTCTTTCTGAATATTATAATCGCTCAATGTACGACCATCTTCAAGTTGTTTGCCAGCAAAGATAAGTCGTTGCTGATCAAGTGGAATGCCTTCTTTATCTTGAATTTTTGCTTTTACATTTTCGATAGTATCACTTGGTTCAACGTCAAGTGTGATAGTTTTTCCAGTAAGAGTTTTAACAAAGATTTGCATTGTTATTAAGTAATAATAAGTAGGCAAAAAGAAGAAATAAATATATGCTTAACAAAAATGAAGGAAATAATGTGAGATATACTGCTGCTTTTACATTGTATATCTCGTGAGAATGAATCAGCGCTAGGTCGTTGAAGACAATGGTAGGATGAATTCCAATGTCATAATAATGACGCACAGTAAACTATGACAAATAAAGAAGATAAAGGAATAAAACAGAAAAAAAGATCGAAGATCGAAGATCGAAACAATCCGAAAAAATATTATTGGTTACCATCGATATGAATCATATTTAAATCGTAAATTACCAAGCAAAATGTTTTCGGTTTTCAGTTTCATTTTCGGCTTTTTATTTCTATTCAAAAGAAAAAGATTGAGTAGGTAACTGGCAATGACTGAGACGAGTGATTCATCGAATCCATAGGAAACTGTGTGCTTCAGATGGCGCTGGAAACTTGACACTGTCTAAGAAATATTGGATGTTGCCAACCGTCGTGTTGAAAGGAACTAAAACTTTCCTTGTATTTTTTTTGTTGTGGAAGTTGACGAAATTATCAAATAATATTTCACAAATGTTGTTGAATAAGTAATGATCATGTTCATAGTTGATAGCATCTTAATTATAAAAAGTAATAGTTCGAGTGTGAGCATGGGTGCGTGTGAGTACCGGTGGGACTGAGGTAATATGTGTTTAGTTCGTTTACCATATACCCACACCCAACTATTACGTAAAGTATCTATATTTTGTTTTACTAGAGAGAGAATCTCCTCTCTTGCCTTCCTCCGAATTTAATGTTTTTTCCTTATGGATCTTACCTTGTAGTCTAATGAAAACTTTTAAAGAAGTAGAGTTCTTATTGAGATTTAGCGGAGGGTGTGGGTGTCCGACAAAACCCAATCCTTCACTTCCTCGCAGTGTCGGATGGAAACATCATTCTTGACGGCTAAGATGGGCTCTGGTAAGCGCCTCAGAGGAGTCTATGGGCTTTTTTATTTCAAACTGAATTCTAAAATAAAAAAAACCGCACCAACTTCTTCCGAATCAAACTTTTCTCGTTTGATACTACGTAGTCCCACTAAAAACCCTTAGTCCCCCCTAGTCCTGCAAAGTCCCCCTTAGTCCCCCCCACAAAAAGCTTAGTCCCCGCTTAGTCCCTTGTGCAGGGGACTAAAGCCTATAGTACACAAAGCCACAAGCACACCCTCACCCTCACTCGCGCGCCCACACCCGCACCATGGGTGTGGGTGTGTGTGTGGGTCCCAGACCAACACCCACACCCTCAGTCACTCCCCCCCTCACTCCTAGACTCACGTTTCAGTTTGAAATCAAGTATTATTTTTATTTGATAAATTCAGACTGAAATTAAATAGCCCATAGTATGCCTCAGAGCTAGTCACCTGTGGTATGTTTCCACCGACTCCGAAAACAACAATCGAAGAACCCATTTCGGGCAACAGTCTCTCGTCTCATCGTCAGCATGCAAGGATTTCACCCGAACCCAAGCTTATGATAAGGCAGGTATCTGTCTTTGAGGGGATGCAACGGTGATTCGAACCAAAAATAAAACCTCAAAAACTTTCCACAAGGCCATCACAATATTCACGTACAACGTACGCACTCTCACACAATTTGAAAAATTACATCAACTAGTACATGAGTGCGCCGAAAACAACAACGACTTGGTAGCAATTCAAGAACATCGTTGGCAAACACAAGGACAAGTCAGCACATACTATGAAACATTGAATGATACGACATGGCGCTTCGGATACTCGTCAACAGCACCAGATGGACAAGGCGGCGTTGGACTGCTTATAAATCCTAGACTATCTACACTACTGAGCTCATCAGAGAAGATATCAAATCGTATCATGATGGTGCACGTTAAAAGCAATCCAACAATAACCATTATTGTCGCTTATGCACCTACAGAAGATAAAAGTGATGCAGAAAAGACGCGTTCTATGATGATTTACAAAAATGCACTTACGATGTTCTACCACACAGTGTTCTAATTCTGGCCGGCGACTTCCATGCAAGAATAGGATCCGATAGTCACTCAACAAAACCACGAGCAATTGGCAAATATACATATCACGACATAACTGACGACAACACCAATCGAACTACTGCGAAGTCGGCAACATGCGCTCAACACAAACTCGCTTCCCACAACCAAAATCAAGATCATGGACCTGGTTACACCCAAACGGTAAATCTAAAGCTCAGCTTGATCACATACTCATCAATGGAAAATGGTCAAACTCAATTCGAAACGTTCGTGCATACAACTCAGTCAAATTGAACTCTGACCATCGTATTGTGAGCGCAAAGCTATCGATCAGTCTCCGAGTACCCAAAGATAACAAATGCAAACGTATCAGGTTCGATCGGACCAAACTCAAAGACAATTCCAACTTACAATCTCAATTTAATATAAAAGTAAAAAATCGTTATGAAATTCTTCTCAATAACAATTCTGACAACGACATCCAAACAAAATACGACAACTTTGTAAGAAGCATAGAAGATACAACAATAGATCTGGTTGGAAAATCGACACGAAAAAATAGAAAAAGTTGGGTCTCAACTGATACCATTAATATCCTAAACCAAAAAAACAAAACTAAAGCCGTATACAAGCAAAATCCAAATGCAGAAAGCGAAAATCATTGGCCCAAACTCAACGAATAGCTTGACAAATCTTACGACAATGGCAGAATCAATTTTCCGGAAGACAAACTCGAACAATTAAAACAAGCAGCAGCGTCAAACCAACTAAGAACAACATAGACTTTAGTAGATGAAATCACTGTGGGTGTGTGGACGGGTGTGGATGGGGTGTGGGTGTGAGTGTGCAGAGCTTGCATGAATCAACGCTCACACCCACACCCACACCCTCATCTTTAAACAATAGATGCTGAAAGCATGCACACGAAGATGTTAACCTACGATTTCTGGGTTGAAATATCGATTTATTGTATGCGAGCAGCTGAAGACATTTTTCTTGTCTTCAGTTTTTCAATCTGTTCCATTGTATTGTCACACGTTGGAACAGTGTATTCATCTGCGAAGTAAATCGACTTAAGCACAATTGTATCAAAATGTAAATTCGCTAACAATTATTTTTTTTTCACATTTTAATGTTGTCGACATTTACGCTTATCGTCTCTTTGTTTGTCGACATTTCGACTATCAACATTTTCAATTATTCTCCTTTTTTTTATTAATATTTTGACTGTCAAAACAATAAACTCGCCATTTTACAACTTGTGTAGTGTATGGTAGGGAGGAGCAAGGAAGAGTCAGTATTGAATTCCTTATTTGTATCGCCATCTGGTCCATTTAGTCCAGAGTGGTATCTATCGATATTGGTTTCTTACATTGATAATAATAGTCTCAAGTAGCGGTGGATTGGCGTGGAATATCAAATGTCGACTTGCCGGGAGAAATAAAGCCCAGTACTGGCCTGGTGAATACATTTCAGGCAAGATCGAATTAGTCAATACTGATTATCCGAATATGAGATTGAAGAGTATTGAGGCTGAACTAGTCGGTACAGTTGTCTACGCCACTGTAAAAGCAGAGATGCGTCCAGTGACAATCTTTCAGGACAGACTCATTCTGCATGCAGTCGATCACCAGGACGAATTTCTCCTTACCTCCGGCAATCACATTTGGCCGTTCCGTTTCCATCTCAACGATCTGTTATCACCCTCGATCGAAAGGACCCATGTCACAGACCCATATATTCGCTACTTTATTCGCATCCGATTTGTTCGACCCGAATGGTACAAGCCGAACATTGAAGAAACGTTTCCTATTGTTGTTAACCCTAGTACTACTGGCCTTTTTAAGCACCATACTGACAACATATGTTTAGATAAAGTGATTTTTTTTACTTTTGGATATGGCTGGGTGTGAGTGTATGTCCTTTCTTAACCCACACACACACTGACACCCCACATCCACACCTCATCCCCACACCCACATCCACACCCCACAATCACACCCACACCCCATCCACACCCACACCCTCTCATGAAAAAGCATCTTTCGTCTTAGTGAATACTATATGAATCGATGGTCCGAACATCACTCTTTAGAATGGTGAAAACTGCAGATCGATATTTTGTTTCTATCAAAAGTTATTCGCAGTAAAAGAGTGCTGGATAACTTATGCGCCAGCCTGTACAATGATAAATCATCTATGATGGTGATTGGATAGCTCGAAACAACTCAAAGATATGGCTTTAATGGGTTGAAAATATATATCCACTTAGATTAGTGAATGAGCCATTGAATTATGTATTGCAAGTTTTACTTTTTCTCCTTTCTAGTTATACATTTGTGTTGTTATATAGTGAAGGCATGTTCTTGTATCAACGACTTGTAATGATATGGAAACCAACGTATTTCTTTTTAGATCCAACAACATATATCTATTCATAGTGGATGCTAGTTGCTTCTAAAAATCGGGAAAAAACAAAATATTTCTAGTACATTTTTCAATTTTTGAGTTGGGGTCAAAAATGACCCCAGCTGGTAGTACTAGGGTTAACCCATTCTCAGTGATATAAATATTGTTTCTCATAATTCGTGAAAGGTTACATTTCTTCATTCGTAGTATATATAGTACTTCAACACAACTTTTATCGACGCTTGTCTTATTATTATAAGCGATGAACCCTCATCTATCACCAATAAAAGTATTCGCTCCTTTTGTCAAAGAATGGCACAGATATTCAATTTTTACACGATAAACGAGCTTTTGGACCACTCTATAGTAGATCCCACCGCTGGATTCCATCGCCCCGAAAGTGTTAATTGTTCCAAATAAAAAAAGGTCATTATTTTAATAATTTCTTTATCAAATCGAATATAAAAGTAGCATATTTAGGCTAAAACATTGATGCAAAAATAAAATAATCACTTTTCAGAACTGTATTCTACCAGTAATATGCTAAAAAGGCTTGGTACTACTAGGTTAAAAAACTTATTCTCGAAATAACATCTATGGAATGTAAACTTCTTGCTGGTGATTGTCTAAATGTGAATTGTTTGCATAACAATGATAAATTTACCATCCAAAGACTGTTTGATATGAATGCTAAAAATGTTTATTTATATACAATGGTTTTCTTCGACAATCTCAATCGTTTGACAATTGTTGTATCAACAACATCCATATCCTACTACGTCCATCTCACGTTATATTGTTACTTAGAGCTAGAAAAACTTCATAATAGCAAAGACATAAAATAAAGCGATTAAAAAGTTAGAAAGGACTATAGTCGGTGATTGTAATAAGATGAGCAAGATTATTTTATTAGAATATTATACACCAGGGAAATAAAATTGCGAGTTTAAAAAATTGTGATCTGAGAAAAAAATCAGTCTTATATTTGAGGTTTTTTTTTTGTTTATATTTTTTGTGCATGAAGTTCAGCCGCCGATTCTCCGTTCACAACTACTCGAGATTGTGGTGATAAAGCGAACACCGGTAAATTGAAATATGCATTGTCACCTTTAATCATTAAACTTGCAAATCCTGCATACCAAGCAAGTGCTGCTGTAAATATTCCAACAGCTCCTCCTGCACGTGATAAATTTTGGTCCCATAAAAGAAAGTAGCTTGCTGTAAATAATGTATAGGTTACCATTAAACAAAAGAAAAATAAGATTAAAGCTATATTTGTTCGAATGCATGCAATTAGCATAACTAATGTAAATATTGTCCACCCAAGATAGAAAACACCTAATGCTTTATACTGTACACTTGTATCTGTGACGCCGTTAAGAAAGTTAAATGTACTAGTATACAGCGCACCAAGTCCAAACCAATAACCAGCATAAGAACAAAACATAAGTGCATGAAAATTTTTTCCTAAGCGCAATTCAAATAACCCAGCAAGAAATTGAATCAAACCACCATAGAAAAGTGCAAGACCCATTGCAATATGAGGTGAAGTTGAGATAGGAACAGTTGCACCGGCCATGTACATCGAATAAACAAATAATGTTAAAGCAAAAGCACAGAAACCAATCGGTGATGCATTATAAGATTGATGTCTTGATGCAGGATATCCTCTCATTAAATGTTCAAATTCAAGAAAACGTTCATATGTTATTCGACTGGTTGTATCGGCAAGATCCCGAGACATTTTTCTAATCTAATTATTTGAATATTTCAGATGTTTTAATAAAATATAAGAAATTTATTGTGAACTATACTATGAATTTAATCAAAAGGGTGACGAATAAATTGCTTTCCTTTAGATATCTGTCTATACTATAGGTTCTTAAATCGCTTTCTAAAACCGATGAACGTTTTATGCAAGGGGGAAAAAGCGGATCCTGGTGGATCCTGGGATCCATTAGGATCCGCCAGGATCCATAGGACCCACCAGGATCCACTAGGATCCACCAGGATCCACTAGGATCCATCAGGATCCATCAGGATCCAGTAGGATCCATTAGGATCCATTAGGATCCATCAGGATCCATCAGGATCCATTAGAACTCATTATCATTTATGAAGATAGATTAATGTTCTGAATAGCCACAAAAGCAAGGAAATCAACCAGATTCATAAAATAAGGATGCATAATTCAAAATATGTTCTGGATGAATCAATGGGAGCACCATGTGCTATTTATACAACTATGACTAGTCTACTTTACAAAGGAAAAACGGACCTTGAGACATCCCACGATCTATTGGACTCCTTCCGAAGCTATTAGAATACATGGAAACAAAGTAAACAGACGAAGAATTGGCCCTAGAATTTTTGAAAACAAAGAAAAAAGAAATTTCAGAGATTGAGAGCCTGGTGAGCCCCGATGAATTTTTGAGTATCTGAATGAGTTCTGCGGTTTACAGGATAGAATAAGATCCATCAAGATTTAGGTGTTCCTGATTGGTTTCAGATTATTATGATGCTTGTTAATTTCTGCTGAATTCTTCTGGATTTCAAAAGATTGTACTAGATAGTGTTGAATTTTTGCTAGAGAAAAGCTCAAGTCTTTTTGAGCTAGATTTCTGACATAGGCAGCAACGGCGCTGCACAGGTTCGCCATTTTTTCCGGGAAAAATGCGAAAAACGGAAAAAAGTGTGTACCCATAAAATTTTAAGATGCCGACAGAATTTTAATTGAGATTCAATCAAGATCGTAACAGTTTATTGCTATTTCCCAATCATATATTGTCGAAGAAGCTGCTAAATCTTGAGAAAGCCGTGTAGCCACGGAATTTCAAGACCTCGACAAGGCTCATAACAGGATTCTATCAGTATCCTGAGCAGTTTACCAATGCAATTAAAACAAGAAATATGTTAATAGAGGGTCAAATCCTCAGAAAAACGTGTAGGCACGAAATAAACACGATTCTGTTATGATTAGAACAAAATCTTAGAGAAATTCTGAGTCATTTTGTATTGACTTTATGTCAAGCTCTTCTCAGAATTTCAATGGCTTCTAATTGGAAAATATTTTCTGATTGCACCTCGCAGAACTCCACTTCGATTCTGTAAGGATGATATCCATTGTATTGTCAAAATTTTTGCAGGATTCTCTAAGCAGAAAAGAGAAATGAACGCACATTATTGATTTCTATATGTTCAGTTAAAAAACTGATTAGTTCACCGCAGTAGACTGTACCATGCTATTTAATTTAACTCAAACCTTCTGTATCTCGAATTCCCTCTGAACTATTAACTTGTATTTGAACTTTATGCAAACATAAGTTATTTGAACAAAAATTCAATATAAACTTAATCTATTGATTACTTATCATAAAATTCTACTATGACTGGTTGATTTCAATTTGAATAAAAAGGTATTTTTCTGATTAACACGAATAAATAAAATCCAGTACAAGTTTTATTGAAGTACTCGTTCTTTACTAAAAGCTGTTTTAAGAAAAAGTTAGTGCAATAGTTAAACTGATATTAAAATCTTCATTTTAATGAGTTTGCAAGTTTTATATGAAAATAAAATTCAAAAAATAACTGAGTTCCATGCTGTAAATGTCATGCAATATTGAAGATAAATATTAAAAATCTTTGACAAGAAATCTTCAAAAATTCTGTCAGAATTCTTCCATTCACTGACACATAGAAACAAAGGAATATTAGAATGAAATTCAGGTACCTTCTTGATCTTCTACATTCCTGTCAGAACCGGAACAAAACACATTGCAAATTCTTCATTGTCATTTTAGTATAGTTGCTGTTAAAAGTTTATTTAACAAGCACAATTTGAGTTTTTGAGATTCAAAGATTCAAAAATATTCGAAGAATCTTAAATAGGAACTGTTAAGGATTTTGGTGGAAACATTTCATAATTTTATTCAAAATCCTGAACCAGATCAGCCATAGATCTTGTTACAATCCTCAAGATCAAGCTTTAGTAGACTCTAAATGAAAATGGTAAAGATCTTCGTCTAACCTTGATATGCTTTCAGAAAGATCCTGGCCATCCTTGACCTTCTCTAGGAAGGATCCGAAATGCTTGTCCTTGAAGAGACCCTAAGACAACCCTGGAAATGTTCAGAAAAGATATTCGTAAGAAGAATGCTTAAGAAAATTAGATAGAATCGTGATTGAATCTTAGAAGAATCCACTACCTGAGGATTTTCATTGCTCTTCTATTAATTCCTTGTAGGATCTTTGCCTTATTTAACTGTAAGCCAGGAGAGGACCATGACGCAGAGATCCCAAACGAATTCTGTTAAAACTATAATAGAATCTAAGCGATATTCTTTCTGTAATCCCTATCAAGGTTTTGAGTAAGATCAATAGTGAATCCTAGTACGGTCCATCATATTAAAATAATAAAGAAATCTGAGTAGGAACTTGAAAAGATCCTCAGAAGAATATTTTTTTCACAATGAAATATCCTGCAAACCAGTATTATTAAAATTGGAAACGGAATCCTGAATAAAATATGACATGAATCTTCAGATTCAGGAGCCCACAATGTTTTTTCACAGTTTCTCAAGGAAAAACAGGATTAACACTAAAGTAGAGGGTTGCTCTAAGTTCTGACATCCTTAGTTTGACGGAGAAAAGCGGATTCTAGAGTCCTAAGAAATTTTAAAATATATTTCTAGAAGTATACCAAAAGCGGTCACAGATTACCGCCATTGGCTATAATTCAACACAATCCATTACAATTTATCAGAGATAACTAGAATGCAATAGAAATCATCATGTATTACAATAATATCAAACCGATTGAGGAAGCGTAAATCTTGATGGATCCAAAAAATACGCAGAATTCATGATGATATGCCAAAATTTACCAAGACATAATCATCTCGGTATCCTGGATCTTTTTTTCTCGTTACTTAGTTACAAATTCTGAAGTCACTATTCCCTTTTCTCACTTAATTTATTTGGACCTTAAAGAATTCTCATATCCATTAAGATCAACTTTTCCATCCTCGTTTCTGTACGCTTGAAATAATTTATTCTACAATTCATCAGGTTCCGTCAGGATCCACTAGGATCCACTAGGATCCATTAGGATCCATCAGGATCCACCAGGATCCAATAGGATCCACCAGGATCCACCAGGATCCACAAGGATCCAATAGGATCCACTAGGATCCACGAGGATCCATTAGGATCCACCAGGATCCAATAGGATCCAGTAGGATCCACAGGATCCACCAGGATCCGAGGATCCAGGATCCGCTTTTTCCCCCTTGGTTTTATGTTTGTAGCTGTTTAATTTGAAAAATAGTCGTATTTAATCACATACATAAGATAGTATATATATATTACAATGGATATATGTATCTTTTTGTGTTATAATTCTTAGTATCTCCGAAAGACAACGGTTGACACTCTGTTTTTTAAATTTTATTATAAACATGTTAATTCTCTTCGATGTCTCATGACAGATTCGAACAGAAGTTAAAAAGTAATATAGAATTTTTCTACTTACATTGAGTCAAAAATGGAATCAAAAAAGTTTTTCTTGAGTTAAGTTGAATAACAGATCGATTTAATGGTATTCAACTTTAACGTTTGTACTTGCTTTCAAGTGTTTGTATAATGCAAATCTAAGCTTTACTCTATAGCTTCTTTTCTCGTTGCCCAAAAGAAATTGTCACACATTATATACCCTCTGCATAATGTCTCCTCATTGAACTGTAAGTGTCCTTAGTGACTCTGTTTGTTACTCCGAACGAAAAAAATTACGCTCTTTTATTTTTCTTTGTGTAAGTTGAAATGTTTCATTGGTAACTAAATGCACTTGTTGCCGCACACAACACAAACAACATTACTCGATGAACCTTGCAACTCTATTTCACATTATTGACTTTCTTTAAGAAATAAAGTTCCAACAATTACACTTGCAACAAATAAATAGGAATAACATATTTAACCTTGTATGAAACATAAGGACTAGTTAGATAAATTAATTTTCAAGTCTTTAATCAGGCACGATAGGAATCAATTGTTTTTCTTTGAAAGAAGCTAAAGATTCGAAATTCATTTAATCGAAGAATTATTCGTCCAGTTCATCTTGTTATTTTATTGAAAAAAAAGGATCAAAGGACATCAGAAAAAAAAAGTTTTTCTTTCGTCTAAGTTTATTGGTATTATTTACTAAATGAAGTCTATCAAGATGGGGTGTGGGTTGATTGATTAACTAAATCAAACTTCCAAGGCGTTTGCGTAAGAAAAATTCCTGATTGTTAACAATTGCGAGATGTATAACCCATGTAAAAAATCTTGACGAAGAATCAAAATAAAATCAATAATCGGTTGAATAAAAATTGATTAAAATCTGAGTTTTCAGGTTAAAAGCTAGATTTGAATTGATTTTAATATTTTTTTGACCGATCGATGAAGTTTTATGGACATTTGATGAAAAGTGAACTTTGACCACATGTGTACATATATTAAGAATCTCTTCTCTTCTTTTAATGCCGTGTTCATGTTGCATGTATTGATTCATTCTTTGAATGAAACAGAAACGAGTAAATCGTTCCATCATAAGAACGTTATATAAATGATTGGAATAAATAATTAGAATATCAACAAGTGCATAACAGTGATATGATGAACTTTTAATATGGATTAAAATATTCTTTATTTTCACTATCTTTACTTAATCATGAAGAAATGAATGATTTTTATCAATGCTTCGAG